TTCTCAGTTGTGTTGGAGCTTAAATTGATCTAAGAAAATGGCGGACGAAGTGGTTCTGTTAAATTTCTGGCCAAGTCCATTTGGGATGAGAGTGAAGATTGCGCTGGCGGAGAAAGGGATTAAGTACGAGCACAAGGAGGAGAATCTGAGCAACAAGAGCCCTTTGCTTCTGCAGATGAACCCTGTTTACAAGAAGATCCATGTGCTCATTCACAATGGAAAACCCGTCTGCGAGTCGCTCATCCAAGTCCAGTACATCGATGAGGTGTGGAACGGCAATGCTCCTTTCTTGCCCTCTGATCCTTATGCCAGAGCTCAAGCCAAGTTCTGGGGTGATTTTGTTGACAAGAAGGTATCTATGCTGGATTCTTTACAAACTGATTTTTTTTACACTTCTGATTATGGTTTATATGTAACAGAATAACTTTCTTTTTTTCAAATTTTTTTTTACTTAACTCAAAATTTAAATTTAAAATATTTAATTTAAAATCTAAAATTCTTAATCAATTAAGTCACTCTTTGAGTTATTTACACAAGTAATGAACTCTGTAATTTTGTTGATTAAGTGCACTCAGTTTGTTACAAAAAAAAAAAAAAAAAAAGAGTATATTTACTTTATTCTTTAAGTTTTTCTAGTTCTTTCATTGAAGCTTTGATCTTTGTCTTCCGTCCCAATTCTTGATTGTTTTTTTCTTTTAACCTATATATTAGATATAACAAATGTGTTTTTTCATGGCCTGAACTGACTAAAAAATGTCAATTCGAGTTGAAAAAGGTCAAACTACATTTAATGAATTAATAACAAGCATTTTAATTCATTTAGCGCAGTTTGGTCTTTAATTTCGAACCCCCGCTGACATGCTTTTAGCCAAAATTAAAAATCGCAGACTCATTAGAATTATGGGTTCTAAATAGTTTGTCATGGGAAACAGATATATGCTCCTGGGTGGAATGTTTTGATGACCAAAGGAGACGAACAGGCAGCAGCCAAGAAGGAACTCATTGAAAGCCTGAAGTTGTTGGAAGCAGAACTCGGGGACAAGACTTACTTTGGCGGATCAAACTTGGGATATGTTGATGTTGCTTTGGTTTCATTCTGCATATGTGGTTCTATGCCTATGAGAAGTGTGGCAACTTCAGCATCGAAGCAGAGTGTCCCAAGATAATCGCATGGGCTACGAGGTGCCTGCAAAAGGAGAATGTGTCCAAGTCTCTCCCTGACCATGAAAAGCTTTACGGATTTGTTTTGGAGTTGAAGAAGGTGTCTGGAGCTGAGTGAAATGAGATCAGGAAGTAGTTGGACATGTTATAATGAAGCATATCTGGTTTTGTTTATGGCCCTTATTCCTTTGTTCTCTTGTAAAATAAAGAGGGCATCTAAGTTGTGCCTTTTATAACTATTGGATTCTATTGGGAATTGTCTCGGTTTGAAAATTTTTTGTTTTTTGCTTTTCTTTTTTTGCTCTTTCCTTTTTTTTTTTTTTTTTAATTTCTCTCCACTCAACTTAAGATTTGAACTTAAAATTTTAATCCTGAAATCTCAAGCTATTAATCAATTAAGCTATCCTTGGGTGCATTTTTGCTTTAAATGTTGTGGATATATTTTAGCGCTAAAAATAATTTATACACTCTTTAGTTTAACACACATGTCAATATTTATTGGTTTAGTTATTAAAATCTATAATTAATAGTTTTCTTGTCTTTAATTTAAATTTAAAAATAATAATTTTTTAATAAATATATTATAAAATATATTGAGTTAGAGGATATACTAATCACTATCCTTTTGAGGCTTGAGGAAAAAATAAAAATTAGTTTGGTTTGGAATGACCAATTCATCATTTCAATTAATCATCCACATATTAGAGCTCGAGTTAAGGAAAAAAAATAAGAGACAGATCAGTTATGGCTAAACTTGGAAATAGAATTTATTCGCTATGATCTTAGTGAATAAGATTTGATTTTAAAATGTTCATAAAAAATTACTTTTTCATAAATTTTTTAGTTTTTGACCAAATTATAAAAAAATTAAATAAACTGATCCAAAAATACTATAATTGTTGATAAAAAAAAATATGAATTTGAGTTTTTATCTATAGTATAATAGTAACTGCTTCCTGGAAACAATAAATAAGAGATTAGGTAAAACATTTGAATGGAGAGAGGGACAATATTGGTTAAACATAAACTTTGCAACTTGTAGATGGAATCCCTTGGGATGGATGGTATGAATATGAAATGAGAATATTATACACCTTAATTTAGGGATTGCCTTACAATCTTAATTTTCTAATATATTAAGATATTATAAATAAATTAAGGAACCAACCGCACTCGGATATTTAGTCCTTTTTAACATTTAGTTAATACTTTTTTCATATTATCTATGTTATTGACAATACATACTTTAGTGTATTTAATTTGAAACATCAATCATCATTGAAAAGTATCTTGACATTCATTTGAAGTTTGGTATTGATTTTTGCTTATTCTTCTTTTTTTTATCCTAACTGTACAATAAGAGATAATCATCTCTCATTCTTTATTTTACTCCACCCACATACCGTACGACTTGAACTTATGACCTTTTATTTCCAACGGAAGAAGATAACTACTGAGTTATTTAGATCGTTTGGCGATTTTCGCTCATCTTATTTTATTTGTTTTAAAGAAAAATGAAGGAAAGGAAGATAATTTCATCTAATTAAATTTAAGGGAAATGTTTGGTACACCTTCTGGTTTAACATTCGGTTCAACACTTTTCGGTTTAATCATTACAAATATAATATAAATATAGTCAATTTAGTCGATTCCTGTATTTTATGTGCATGATTGTATTATTATATTTGTCTATTTTTAATTTTAGATTAAAAAATAGTGATTTTTTAATTATTAAACCGAAGGGTGTTGAACAGAGTATTGAAATATAATGTGTACCAATCATTGTCCTAAATTTAAACATTAAGCTGGCATCTTAATTTAATTGCATGATATGATTTTTTTTCTTTTCTTTTCTTTTCTTTTCCTCTCCTCCTCTCCCCTCAAACCCAAAAACCCTAAATATTTGAAAATTTGGGAAGAGAAGCAAGGACGGAGGATTTAAGGGGTAAGACATATTTATGAAAGGATAATTAGTATATAAATATGTATAATAGATAAAATATTTTCCATAAAAAAATATTGTAATATATATTGCTGAAACGTATAGTGACAATGTCGAGAACCTAGCTTAAAAGTAAAAGTAAATAAGTAAAAATCCAGGCCCAATTAACTCGAGATTTACTTGAAAAGATGTTCATAAATGGTATAACCTTTTTTTTAAAAAAAAAATAAATGGTATAACTTGATTAAACTATCATAATATTTGTCAGTTATAAATTTATTTGTTTAATCTTTACGTACCTCGGGATGCCAGTTGGGGATATTATGTGCAGAAGGAAAGCATGGAAACCAGTCATTGATAATTTTTCCAAAAAGCTGGTAGTCTGGAAAGCGAAAAGCCTATCGATCGGTGGCCGAGTTACGTTGCTAAGGTCGGTTCTCTCTGCCCTCCCTATATACTTTATGTCTATCTTTAGAATTCCAAAAATTGCGCTCCATGATTTAGTGTCTTTACAAAGGAAGTTCCTATGGGGCTATACGGAGGACAAGAGTAAATTAGCTTGGTTAAGTTGGGAGAAAGTGTGTAGGAACAGAAGTGAGGGAGGACTAGGAGTGCCAAATCTTGACTATAGAAATATTGCGTTGCTAGGGAAGTGGTGGGATAGATTTGGGAAGGAAGAGGGTAGCTTATGGAAAAAAGTTGTTATTGATAAATTTTATGGAGGAGGGTCCGTGTGGGATATCAATCAAACTCAACTTAGGAATGTGTCCACCCTATGGAGGAATATTGTAGAATTATGAGATAAGGGGGGTAACGGTTCAAGAGTGTTAAAAGAAGGTTTTGGCTGGAAGGTGGGAATGGAAGATAAAGTAAAATTCTGGGTGGATAAATGGATAGGAACCGAACCCCTAAATATTTCCTTCCCTCGATTATTTAACTTGACATCCAACAAAGACGCACTAGTTATGGAAGTGGGGCAATTTTCTAACGACTCTTGGATTTGGAAAAACATTTGGAGACATGATTTTATTGGCAGGGAAAGGGACGAAGAACAGAGGATCAAAGAGATCATCCTAAGAGAGCTAGTGTTATCATCCCAACCGGACCAAAGAAGATGGAGCTTCGATATCGCAAATGGCTACACGGTGTGCAAGGCCTATTCTTTGATGGCTGGTCAAAATAGATTAGTGGAGCCAAGAATCTGCAGAAAGCTTTGGGGCAAATTGATCCCGTCCAAGATCAACTGCTTCAGGTGGCGACTTATTTTGAAAGGACTTTCAACGAAAGCAGGGATCCTAAAAAGAGGTATCCAGCTTCAAGAGGAGGAGACTTTTTGCTGCATTTGTAGAAAGGAATTGGAGGATGACAACTACTTGTTTGCCACATGCCCAAAGATCCAAAGTCTGTGGATGAGATGCTACAACTGGTGGGAGATATCCCTAACCCTTCCTAACACAATTTCTCTTTTATGTGAAGCTCATAGTATAGGGATCAAAAAGTGGGTAAATTATGAAGTTTGGTTTTTGATTTTCTTGGTGGTTGCATGGTCTATATGGTACACAAGGAACTCTATTATACACAACTCACAACAATGGGATGAGGATACAACTTTTGACTTAATTCAAAGGAGAACATTTGCTTGGATAAGGGGAAGATCTACTAACACTATGTTTCCTTTTTTCTATTGGTGCAATTCCCCTAATACATGTGTCCAAGAAATTCCCAAGAGGTAGATTTAACATTGAAGTTTCTCAGTCAGCACTTTAGTCTTTGGAATGATTCCATAGTTTGAGGATGCTTTCTTTGTCTCTGAATGTATTCATTATTGTATTTGCTATGACTTTTTGATGTTACGGGTTGAGTACGCCTTGTACTCCTACATATAATAATTTTTTATTCATCTAAAAAATAAATTTATTTGTTTAATCTTTGCTATTAGATTATGTAATTTAAACCATAATTTTTATTTATTTATTTAGTTTTGACTCTTTTAGTCTTCCCAGTTACTATAGAACAGGCATTTTAAGCAATGAACTTAGTTAAGAGAAGACTTCTAAACAAAATGAAGAATGGATTTCTTACTAAAAATTTAATTCTCTTACATTGAAAGGGAGATTTTTAGAAAACTTTATTTCATTGTTCAATTAATGAGGATTTTAAATCTTTAAAGAGAGAGGAGTATTATTTTAAAAGTTAAGCATTATTTTTTCTTATTACTTTTATTTTAAGACAATGATACATATACCTTACAAAGTTACACATTCTATTACATAATGATAGTCTTCATTACTTAATCCGTTACACATATCCCTTGTAACTGTCCAAACACACCCAGCCCTTTCTGTCTCTCTCTCCTTTCCTTTCTCCCTCTCGTTGTTCCCACTGAACAATACATTCAAGCACCAAATTAGAATCTTGAGTCTCCAGTATCTTGAGGAATAGTTCGTTTTCTCACAAAATCATCCTTGTTTTAACCCATGATTTTGCAACCCATTAGACACATAAAACAAGTTTGTTTTTCAGATGATATAGTAGAAAGTGGAGTATATGTGAGTAGAGCCAATCGGCAGAAAAGGGAAAAGAAAATAAGGGAAAAGAAAATAAGGGAAATTTTTTCAGTTTTGTTATCATGCGCAGCTTTGCCATTTTGTCCAAACTGCAAATGTTCACCGTTGGATTGAAATGAAATTTTGTCTAGTTGTTCAAGAGACATTGATCTACATTCTAAATAGTTAGTTTTTTGTTTGAAGTTTTGTAGGTTCTAATATTGTGCCCAGAACAATAGCTCATTTTTGGTGATATGTTTTTTTGTAGTTTTGGAATTGTGCGCAACTTTATTATTTTGCTTGATCTGCGAAATTTTACTGTTCGATTGAGTTGAAATTTTGTACAGATATTCAAAAGACATTGATCTATATTCTGAACAGTCAATTTTTCGTTTGGAGCTTTGTAGGTTCTGATTTTATATCCAGAACAATAGTTCATTTTTGTGTTTTTTATAAGGTGTATGCATCATTGTCATTTATTTTAACTTGTAATAAATTTAAGTAAAGATGATAATTAGTTATTAGATTTATCTTGTATATTATATATCTTATATTTTATATTACTTTACGTGTAATTGGAAAAATGATTTTTGCCTCTAAATTATGTCAAGCTTTATCCTTGGAGGGAAGTGAGGAAAAGGGTGATAAACCACTTTAACCCCTTGTTTGGTTTGAAGGAAATGAAGGGTTTTCTTCTACTTCCCTTCCCTATGCTTTTCTCATTTGGTTAGATTAAATTCCCAAGGAAATTAAAGCAAAATAAAGATAAGTTTTTTTTCCCTCCATTTAAAGTTTCATGTGATAAATACAATATTGAAAAACTTTAAAGGGCAGAAATATTAAAGTGTAGTAATTTTAAAAATTTTCAAAAGTTGAGGATGTCAACTTCCCCCTCGGACCCCCTTCCGTCCTCCCTTGTGCATGGCACAGACTGTACTTCACTCTTCCATTTTGTTTATACCAAACGGTATGTACTTGTAGCTAGGCTGCATCCAATCTAATGTATGATTGCTATTTGATTAATCTAATACGCTTCAACTTTCCTCAAAAATAAAAAAAATAAAAAAAAAATAAAAAAAAAGAAAGAAAGAAAAAACAACCCTTTAAAGACAATGATTCCAATCTGGGAATTCTTCATTAACTTGGGAGATAGAGCATTAATTAAGGAGAAACTTTCTACCTTCAATACAACAGCAGTTCTGGCAAAATGTAAACTCCCCTCAAACTCCCGTTTTCCTATTACCCCATACAAAATATATGACCACTGATCATCCCATTTTTGTCAAAAGTTTTCATGAAATTTGAAGAGATCTAAGCTAATCCTATGTAAGAGAGAAACTGAAGTAGGCCAAATATTATACAAACAATATGCACTGCGTCTAGCTTCTAGTCTTACAAATCTAGCATGTTTTATACAAGGGAACCTTACAGGATCAAACTTGGCAAAACGTGGGTCTTCATCTGGTTTCGGATGATATAGACTCGATAAATTCCCTCAGATTCACGCTCAGCACAGAACACACATTCATCTCCCACTTGAATGCCATTTGCCTTGCAAAAAGCTTCCCATCCACTGCACAATATTCCGAATCTGGATCTCTCATGGTAGAGAACTGGCCATGGTCTCATATCTGGATCACGAAGCAAAACTACCTTCCTTATGATTCTTGTTCTCTTGGAAGGTGATGGTGGCAAACATATTGGCAAGTATGTTGGCAGCTCCTGCATAAGTATCAGAAGTAGGCGAGACCAGTTAAACTAATTATCCAAAAGAGGGAATAAAAGCAAGAGATGGCAAGCATTTGGAATGCAAGGGAGAATTACACTGACACCACACCAAAAGGTTCAATCGAAATAAGGGACATCAGATCCAGCTCATGAAATTCAATATAGTCATATATTCAATGTAGTCATATAGTCATATAATTTGTGTTGTAATGTCAACACCAAATAAAAAGGGAATAGAAATTATAGAACAAAGACAAGCTTACAAGAAAAGACTGACTGTCCCCTCCCATCAAGCAAGAAATATTTGCTGCAATTGGTGTTGTAGAAATTGAATGAACAGCTTCAACTGTCCCTATCCCATCAAACTTCACCTGGGGAATCTGACAATCATCAATAAGAGAAATATGCTTCTGCTGCAACATTGCCACAGGATCATTTTCAATAGCCTCTCCTTTACCAGTATTTCCCACTCTCTCTGTTCCAAACATAGTAAAAAATTGTAGCAATATAGTTGACAACATTTATCAAACAATTTCAAAAAAATAAAACAAAAAGTAAACCTTTCAAGAAACTGAAATCTCCTCAAGTAAGAATACAAAGAGAATGATGCAACTCAAACGTCAAAGAAATTAGCATGCAGGCATGCAGTTAGAAGTTCACAGAGCTCCGACACCTTCTTTCTTGGCATCACCTAAAAGCTGTTACCTAAAAGAAGTATGCTTTTCCTACATTGCACCTGATAATTTTCTATCAGAATGTTAGCATATTTCATTTTCTTGGGGGGTATTGATTTACCATAAAGGAGACTATAAAAAATATCATAAACCCAACTGCTAGCAACCATTTGACCCATAGATGCAGAAGCAAACAAGTGAAAGCAACTAACCTGATTTTACTTTGTCTGTTTTCTCAACATTCCAGCAGCCTTCACTTAGCCCAATTGACATATGAGAACCTTTGTCAGGTTTCTCTGCAGACTCATTCAAAGGTCGGCCTGATATTGAACTATTGGAAGACCCTTTATCAGAAACAATTTCAGTTTTGCGCATCAGTTTAGCATCATTTATCTGCTTCATCTTTACAAAGTCAGATGCATCTGAGGGTAACATCCCGTTCATTGTTTGTTCAACTGTTAAAATCCCACCAACTTGGTTATTGTCGCTCACAATGATATTGGGATAAGAGTTCTCCTCACGGAACACCTGCTTCTGCCCTGCATTTTATTATTTTCAAGTTTGGTATTAGTGTATAAAAAAAATCAATTACTCAAATATCATAGCTTTGAAACCAGCCAGAATTTTAAGGTAAAAAGTGAAGTGAAAATAAAGCCAAACCACAGATTTCTGGAATTATTTCATTATGACTGCATAGTTCTGATATCATCTCCAATAGCTCAATTTTACTCATCATTTCCTCTTCACCAGTTCAACATAGAAATCAGTTGCAACATATATCTCAATCAATCACAGAAAGAAAGAAATTCATTAGAAAATGTAGCTTTTGTGTATAAAAGAAGTTTGCTCAAACAATAATCCAGTCTAAATAGAAAATACATCAATTCAAATGGGTAATAAATGAGACTGACATTGTTGGATGCCACTAGTGATAGGAAGTGCCGAAGTTTCTGAAGTTCCAGCAAACTTCAGTTGGGCAACCCGACAATCGTCAACAAGAGAAGTATGCATCTGCTTTAAGACTTCCACAGGGTTATTTTTAACAGACTCCCCTTTAATGATATCTGCCTCGAAACCTGATCAACTTCAATGTACTAGTTAATTTAGCAATATGCCTAACAAAATTCATCAAACAATGGCAATAAAATCACCCAAAAAAGTAAAGCTTTTGCAAAAACAGAAATCTGCTCCAGCAAGAACACAAGGAAACAATAAAAATCAATGAAAGATTTGACACTTCACAAGCAGGTATGCAATAAGAAGTTCAAACTGTGACACTCCTGCAAACTTCTGGTACATAACCTCACAGCTGACAGCTCTTGATATAAGAAGTATGATTTCTATCTTATACACCTGATAATTTTTCCCAACCATGTGATTCATAGAAAGAAACTAGTTAACCTGATTGTGCTTGCTCCCTTTTCTCAGCATCCCAGCATCCCCTCATTAGTGCAGTTGACATATCAGACATGTAACCTCCATTGTCAGGTTTCTCTACAGATTCAATTAAAAGTTGCCTTGATATCTTATTATTGCAAGACCCTTTATCAAAAATAGTTTCTATTTTGTGCATCAGTCCAGGATCATTAATCTGCTCCATATCTTCAAAGATAGAAGCATCTGAGGGTAAAATTCTGCTCACTGTTTCTTTGGCAAGTAGATCACAACCAACTAGGAAAGATTTAGATCCACATCTCAGATATACATCAGCATCATCATGACATCTGTCTCCCATGATGACTTTATTGCTCCTATCAAAACTGTTGTCAATCTTAGGCTTTTCAAAGCTAGCCAAGTCAAGTATACTTCTTCTGTCTTCTCCATTTGTTGCTCCCAAGACTCTGTTAGTCAAACACAATGGCTCTTCAGCAAATTTTTCTCCAAAAGCAGGAACAGGTTCTTCATTGCCAATACCAACATTTGACACACATTCTCTTACCATGTGTACCTTCTGCATATCATTCATCTCTAACTGGCCCCAATTTAAACCTACATCTGATTCAGGAACAATCAAACTGTAATTTTTCACCAAACCTTTTCCAATGGAATTGCAAGGACCAACTTTAGTGTTATAATGTCCATCAACCCGAGCTCGTTTAAGTTGATTTCTTCTATATGGAAAATCCAATTTTTCACAACCAGTTTTATCATAGATCTTAACAAGAAAGTGTGATCTCTTAATGTAATGGAAGACCAAAAAGTCTCCAACTTTTAGCCCATGGTCCACTGAAAAAAGATCCCAATTCAGATCAAAAGCTAAGGAACCATTAAGTTTTGAAATTTTTATTTTCCTTTGACATCCGTTTGAATCCTCAAGAATTGTTTCTTGATCAATCAATTCTGATACTGTAGCAGCAAACTTAGGAGGCAAGTACTGTAAGAGAGGGCAAGATTAGAAAAGACAAGAATGCATTAACCATAAAAAGGATGAGGGTTTTGGCAAGCACCAGATAGACCATACAATATATATCAAAATATTAAAAAAAAAAAAAATCAAATCAAATCTAGTTAAGTAGCAGAGGTCAAACATAGATATGAAAATAATCTTCTTTGATGACTGTACCCTATCTTTCCAAACACTAATTTTTTGTCTTTTTGTTAAACAAACATTAAAATCTAGGTAAAAGTTGATAGCATCAAAGATTATTTCATTTAGAATAACATCAAAATAATTAATGGATCTGGTT